TTCCCTTTCTCTAAACTGCACTAACACTGGTGGTCAGTCCCATAAGACCTACTCTGTATTACTTATCTACTGCTGCCTAACAAATTATGCCAAAACCTAGCAACTAAAAGTGACAAACATTTATCATCTCATACTATAAATGGGTCAAGAATCCAGTGGTGGCATAACTGAATATCTCTGGCTCAAGATCTTTTCTGACTTGGCAGTTGATTTGTCAGCCAGAGATGCAATCTCATTTGAAGGCTCAACTGGGGTGGGATGGAGGAGGTAAGATCATCTTACAAAATCACTCACATGGTTCTTGGCAGGCTTCAGTCCCTTACCCCATGGGCCTCTCAACAGTGTTACAGAAGAACAAGGTAGCTGACTCCCCTCAGGGTGAACATCTGACAGAGTGAGACAGCATGCCCCCAAAACAGTATGCCCCTTTGTATAACTTAATGTCAGAAGTCATATCCCCTAACTTCTGCTATATTCTATTTGCTAGAAGCAAACTACTAACTCCAGTTCACATTCAAAGGGAAAGAAATTTAGCTCCTCCTCTTACAAGGAAGCTTATCAGATAATGTATGTACATATTTTTAAAAGCATCACAACCCCCAATAAATATTGAACCAGCCCACTTCTCTCCATTTCACTGTCATCACTGTGGTCCAAGCTGCCATCGACTCCAGGCTAGAACAACCTATTCATTGTTCTCTTCCTAACCCACCCACCTCCAATTCATTCTTCTCACTGAAGCTCAATTAATCTTTTGAAAATATAATCAGATTAGATTATTTCCATGCTAAAACCCTCCCTCCCATGGCTTCTTATTTTACTTTCTTAAGATGGCCTAAAGGGCCTCACAAGCCCTGGCCTGTGCTTATTATCTGACCTAATTTCTTATCATTCATTCAGCTTAATGTTCCAGCAACATTGGCTTTCTTACCATCTGTACACATGCCAAGCTTACTGCACTTTGTCATCTTCACCCAGCTATTTTTTTTTTTAGAGGTTTTCACTATAGGGCGCGTGTGCTTGCCAGACAGACAGAGAAAGATATAGAGACAGAAAGTGAGAAAGCCCCCCCCGGGGGGGGTGGTCATGCCACAATCCCTTCTCCTTCATTCTCCTCTCCGGATCTTGGGCACTCATGCACACGCGCCCAGCGTGAATTCTAAGCCACCGGGTCCAGGACACGAACCGCGGTCGACTACGTGGGAGTTCAGCGACATAGCCATTACGCTAACTGCTGGTTCCCCACCCAGCTATTCTTTGATTAGAATGTCCTCCCTGTATCCTCATTTGCTCCCTGACTACTTCTTGCATTTCTCTTTCCTGTCTGTCATTCAGCTCTTAACTTCAATGCCACATC